TAAGGCCGAGACTAATTACAATGTCACCGAGAAGGAATGTTTGCCAATCGTCTGGGCCCCTACAAAGTTCCGACCTTATTTGTATGGTCGCCCATTTGACGTCATCACCGACCATCACGCACTATGCTGGTTGTCGTCATTGAAAGATCCCTCAGGCCGTCTCGCCCGGTGGGCACTTCGCCTGCAAGACTACGACATCCGCGTGCTGTACCGCAATGGAAGGCAACATTCTGACGCCGACGCCCTGTCGCACTCTCCCTTGCCTGACGACAATGCCCACAACTCAGCGTCTCACCTTGCCATTTCTTCCATTAGCATTCATACCATTGCTACCGAACAGCGCAAGGATCAATGGATCGCCTCGCTGATAGACTTGCTCTCTGATCCATCCACTCCATCCACTCGCGCGTTGCGTCGTCAAGCCCACCATTTCGCCGTTCGGGACGACCTCCTCTACAGGCGCAATTACAACGGTGACGGCCGCCAGTGGCTACTAGTCATACCTCGCAGTATGCGCTCTGACATATGCGAGTTCTTTCATTCCGATCCGCAATGTGCGCAATCCGGGGTATCGAAGACTTACCACTGCATTCGCCAACGGTACTTTTGGCGCGGCATGTACCGCTACGTGCAGAAATTCGTTCGCTCCTGCATAGATTATCAGCGCCGAAAAGCTTTAACGCACCTGTCACCGGTAGGTCTGCAACCTCTACCTTGCCCTGCCAGGCCCTTTGGGCGCGTTGGCATCAATTTGTATGGGCCACTTCCACTGACGTCGGCTGGTAACCGCTGGGCCATTGTCGCTGTGGAACACCTCACGCGATACGCCGAAAGGGCCGCTCTCCCCGCGGCTACAGCGAGCGATGTGGCCTCCTTTCTGCTCCAACGATTCATTTTGCGATACGGTCCACTCCGGGAACTGCTCAGTGACCGAGGCCGCGTCTTCCTGTCAGAAGTCGTTGAAGCCATTCTTAAAGAGTGCAACGTTGTTCACCGTATAACTGCTGCTTACCACCCGCAGACGAATGGCCTCACCGAACGCTTCAACCGTACGCTCGGCGACATGCTCTCCAAGTACGTCGCCACCGATCACACAAATTGGGATTCCATTCTACCCTTCGTCACCTACGCACATAATACCGCCCCTCAGAGCACCACTGGCTTTTCACCTTTCTTTTCATTATATGGAAGGCACCCGTCGCACACCATCGACACGATACTTCCGTACAAGCCATATTCGTCTGAGTGGGTGCCTATTTCTGCTACAGCCAAGCTTGCTGAAGAGTGTCGAGAGCTTGCAAAGACCTTTACTGCGCACGATAGAGCGGCAAAAAAGCATTCGTGCTGACGCCAGCGCTACTGCGCCCACGTTTCTCCCTGATGCGCTTGTCTGGCTCTCGATCCTTACCACTGCAACTGGCCTATCTTCAAAACTATTGCCCAAATACGAAGGCCCCTACGGTGTCGTCAAATGCACTTCCCCTGTCAACTACTTGATTTAACCAATCGAACCATCTTCGGACATGCGCCGTCGAGGATGCAACATTGTTAACGTAAAGCGCCTCAAGGCCTACCATGACCCCCGAATCGTAACCATCTGTGAGGTCGCCAGGTGGCTCCCTTTTCGTACCTGGGGTAGTTGTGGCAAAGCCTTTGAACAGTGGGTCGTCTTCTCCAGTGCCTTCTAATGGGTCGCCCTTTTCATAAGAAGAGCAGCTCGTGCAGAGAGTTGGTCCCCGCATTGACTGTCGCTGTCGTGGATCATCGACGAGTGTCTGCCAATGTACTATAAAATTTATTAGGATTTCGGTTATGTCAAACAAAAAAAAAAAGCCATTGTGCTTAGATTTAAATGCATGTTAAGGAACCCAATTTAATGTCTGCTGTGGGGGGGGGAGGGGGTAGTAGTTAAGGTGCCCGGCTGCTGACCCGAAGGTCGCAGGTTCGATACCTGCTGCAAGGTTGCATATTGGTGGAGGCGACGTGATGTAGAGCCGTGCAGTGTCAGTGCAGGTTAATTGGACACTGAAGAGGAACGATGAGTTGTTTTATATTGATAAACTGTGATCTGAGAACTCTAGCCATGAGTTTCACTCTCATAAGTTCATTATCAGCGGAGAAAATCAAGCTCGATGTTCAGTTTTTAAATTTCGTGCCGTAATTTCTACGCGGGACGTAAAAAGTTCCACAATGTACTTTTTGTATTTTCGGAACATTGGTTCAATGAAGTTTGCTGAGACTTTGTATGATAGGTCTATGGCACCCACAGATTAGAATGTACTTCAATGTAATCGATTAGGAAGCTACGTAGGACCCTGTAGATGCCTTCAAAAATTGATGATGTCACAGTGTTCGGCGCGGGAATCTCAAGGTGGCGTCTCCATGCGTAGATTTTCTTCGCGTGTTTTCTCATTTACCAAGTGTGTCGCAGTTAGAGTGGTGTTTTCAGGGTTGTGGAATTGCACTTTACTATTACAGAAAAAAGTGTTTTGCTCTTTAGTGTCCCTTTAAAGAACGTCAGATAGTCAAAATTTCCATAGCCCTCTACTATGGTGTCTCATTGGTTTTGGGATGTATAAACCTAGATATTCGATAAGTTTTCTGCTGTGGCATATCTTATAATCATATTGCGGTTTTGGGGCATAAAACGACTGCAAATATATTTTATTGTAAAAATAATTGCATTAAGATGTCTTCTAAACATCTATCATTGTTGTGATCGCAGCCTCCTGATCTGAACATTCTCATCTTTTGAACTTTGAATTACAATGGCAGGTCGTGAGTATTGCGCTGGATCACAAACGGAGCGTGTTGCTCCGACTGAGATTGCTGTCTCCAAATCTGCGTTTGGAATGCGTAGATTTTGTGTAGACATATTTCCAGTCGAATCTGCAGATTTTGGCAAAGTAAGTTTTCTTGCTCCTTGATGCGATCCGGATCTGACAACCGCTCCCGTCCTGCCATTGGGATAGGACTGCTCCACAGGGAAGAGAAAAGTTGGATCGGCTATTCGAATTCAGCATATAATTCTATGCAAGGCTCGTAAGATGCTGACATGCATGTGTGCCAACCTCTGACTACACTCTTAGGGCAAATTGGTTTGCCCCTAGAATACATATGTTTTGCAAGGCAATAGTCCAGTATTTTTTTTAGGTGTTTCTTCGGTGCTAAAAATTGAGGTGCCCCACACTGTGGTATTCCTCGTAACCACAAGTGCTGAAGATTGGGAAAGTTGGTTCATTGTGCTTGAACTGGTATAGTGCATTATGGGAAGGAAAAAAAAAATGGCTGAACAGACTTACACAAAAGGACAGAGCGCTAACTTCCAGCTGAGCTTTATTGGCAAGATGCATCAAATACACTTATAATGAAGGAATGATGACAAGGAAAGGGAACAACAAGCATCATCGCAAAGTAAGGCACCACGAGATCGGCGCTCGAGCTCCTCCCTCTTCCTCGTCCTGTCGCTATCTTGAATCTTCCACCTGCCCGTTTGGTTCACCCAATAAACCTCTTTACATTATTATTATTATTATTATTATTATTATTATTATTGCTGGGTGGGGATGTGGCACCTGTGATTGCTCGCTTACGTCGCCGCTTACGGTGGTGTGCTAACTCAAATTGATTTTACCGCGGTCATCAGTCCAACTTCGTATGGCAGATGACGGGGCATTTGTCACACATTTTAATGAAAAACGACGGCAGCCATCTGTAACCGGTAATTTTTACAGGTCCCAGGGACACCAAGTTCCATCAACGAAAGGGAGAAGGCAAGTAATGAAGAAACTTTGGGCAGCACTACTCCTTTTAGTACCACCTGCTTTTCCCCATTCTACCTTCTATACGGACGTCGACCATCGCACACAATTGACACTTTGCTGCCATACGCACCAGATGTACCTGAGTGCACGGCCGTGTCTGAAGCCGCCCGTCACGCCGAAGAATGCCGCCAACTAGCAAAGCAGTTTACTACGGCTGACCAGCAACGCCAGAAAAAGGCCCGCGATGATGACCACCCTCCTGCCGCAGAGTTCTCCCCTGGAACCCTTGTATGGCTGTATGTACCACCCTGTGCACCTGGTTTGTCTATCAAGCTACTTTCAAATTACTATGGTCCATACCGCGTGGTAGAGCGCAAATCGCCCGTCAATTACGCCATTGAACCGCTTACGCCACTCGGTGACAATCGTCGGCGTGGACCTGATATTGTTCATGTGGATTGCTTGAAGCCATACTTCGACCCGCTCGTTCCCACCTGTTAGATCGCCAGGATGGCTTCATCTTTCTCGACGGGGGCAATTATAATGAAGGAATGATGACAACAAAAGGGAACAACAAGCATCACCGCAAAGTAAGGCACCACGAGATCGGCACTTGAGCTCCTCCATCTTCCTCGTCCTGTCGCTATCTCGAATCTGCCACCTGCCCGCTTGGTTCACCCAATAAACCTTTTTACACACTGACTTTTGCAAGTATAGAAAAACACCAGAACAAAATGCCTAGATTAGAGACAGCAGCATCATAGTGTCACAAACAAGTTTCACAGACAGTTTGTGTGATTAAGGAAAGACACGCCATGTCTCGATAAAGCCAAAGAAGGTTGTCTAATCTCGGCGTTTTGTTCGGGTGCTTTTGTATGCTTGTGCAAGTCTACATATTTGATGCATTTCCGAATAAAGCTCGGTTGAAAGTTAGTGTTCTGTCCTCTTGTGTAGATCTGTTTGACTGTTTTTTTTTTCATTCCCATAGTGTGCTATACCAGTTAAAGTAACTCATAACCACATTGCAGTTGTGGTGGGCGAAATCAAAGAATTAAGTTAATTGCATCAGGTTTTTGAAGGGATTAATGTAAGCAGCGGCACATTGCACAGTTGTCACAGTAGTGTCAGTGGTGCTGTAAAAACTTACGACTCATTCGTAGTATTTGAAGGCTATGGCTTCAGCGACTACCAAGATGCTGTAGGACCCCAAGCAACTGCATTCACAGCATTCACGTTTTGAAAAAACTTTAATGATTCATGGCTGCAACCATAACGGCTGCACAAAGTCACATGACTACAGCAGCTTACGTACAAACGAATACCACATTTTCAGGAAGTCGAAAACACTGTGATCATCTTCATCTGGAAGACGTAAAAGAACAAAAGTTTTTACAATACTGTTAATTGCAAAGCTCCTTGTGAATTATTTCTGTTTCTGGCTTTTTACGAGCTAATATTCGAACCAGAAACCTATCATATTGTGTTCAGGTAGTTTCTTCTTAGTTACACACTGTCATCTATAATATTAGCGGCTGTGATGGCACAATAAACATTTAAATATTTTGCATAGTGAGCACATTTTGGTTGGGCTGTAAAGCTATCAGGCAGCATGTTTCAGTCATGGGCATGTTACTAGTAAAAAGTACCAGTGTTACAGTTACCTAAGTAAAAAAAGTAGCTCTGTTACAGTTACAGTTACCGAGTTTCCAAAAGTAGCCTGTTACAGTGACAGTTACTCTGAAAAAGTGATGGTGTTACTTTTGCGTACTGTACAAAATATGTAATAGATAACAAACAAAGTGATAGAATTTATTTAATGAAAACACACGAAGGCATGCGCGGGTAGTCAAAATTGCACATGGTAAAATCTTAAACAAAGGAAACCTAAAAGATGGCTCAACACCAGCCGTGTTTGTGTACGCCTCATTTTGTTGCATCAATTTATTTGTTCATGCACCGTTGGTGAAAATGAACTTAATTTGCAATTAATAATAATAAACGTCCTTGGACTCTAGAAGGAGAAAGCGTAGTTGATGCATTTGAACAACAGCATTATCCTAGGACGTTATTAGCGATATCCAGAAGCGCTAGCTAAGAGGAATTGGGAACGTGTCATGATTGAAGACAACATCGAATGTGTCTGTTTTCGATGTTCAAGGTGTATCGGACTCTGTTCGGAGGCCTCTACGTCCGCTGGCCGCAAAAACATGTGTTCGTGAAATTACAAGCACGATGTGGGAATTGCAACGCGGCTTAACATCGACGGAATTGGCAGGAAAGTATTGACAAATGGAATATTGCTAAAGGAACTTGTGCTACGCATTCTAGGACAGAGTTTGCTGAGCACTGCTGGACAACTGGACATAGTTTTGACCTAAGCACTGCGATGATGCTGGCGCGTGAATAGGGGGAAGAGGAGAAAAGTGCGAGTTGTAGTTAACCTTTTACAATCAGTTCCAAAGAGGCTTTAAAGAATTATTCGCTATTTGAGAATATGTTAAGAATTATTCGCTAGTTTAAATAAATATTCGCTAGTATTTGTGGCTCTCAACCGTATTGGGCTCTGCTGCTTTCAAGCCGCCTGTCAAGCAAGATTATCACGGACCCTCGGACGAATGAGACTAAACTTGGCGTCCTAATGATTCACCGGTACACTAAGAGCCGAGCTAGCAGCTCAAGTGACCAATCGGATATATACGTGAAAAAAAAACGGGACGCGAACTTAGCCTTTGCGACCTCCACTCTTTAGCTGCGAGAGGAGCGGTGTTGTGGAAAGGTGAAAGATGGAGAGGAAATGGTAAACTAACTGTAACGCTGTTTCCCGTTACAGTTACTGCGTAAGAAAGTAACAGTGTTACATTTACAAGTTCTGCTAACCTTAAAGTACTTAGTTACAGTTACAAGTTACTGAAAATGTAACTAGTTACCAGTAACTTGTAACTAGTAACTAGTTACTGCCCAAGACTGGTGTGCTTGCTTGGCAAATGAATATATATGGCATGGTTGCATGCACATCTAAAGATATCTTCAAAGTTTTCTTTTAAGTAGCTGTGCATAGAATAGCGCTCATCAACCACAGGTGACTGTCAACCACTGCATGTTACTACAGCCTGTTTGAAACATGATGTGCACGTTTGTACAGATTTACCAAGCATGCATTTGGTGCTCGTGGAAAAGGGCCACGATATGGTCACCCAGAAATTCGTGGTTTTCAGCTAAAACTGGAAGTAGAGAACCTATTACAACCATGCAGATGTGAAAAGTGTGCCGCAAAAGAATATTTTAATGCGAAACAGGCCCTAGAAGTCATCAGCTGTGAATGACGCCTACCGCCGGCGGTTGTCGTTGTGCTATGGTGCTTGTGATGTCACGTGCAGTGAGAAGCGGTGCCAGCGTCTCCTACCACACTTTCAGCCTTCCGCCACACCTTCAAATTTTTTGCCTGATCGGAATGAACATAACTGATAGCGTATCGCTCAAATATTTTCAGCCTCAGCGTTTGTTATTCATATTCAGAGAAAATTACAGTCTCCAAATTAGACCGTTTTCTAACTCGGCACTGATTAAGATTAGTACTAACAAATCGCCATATTTGCCACCTTCTATTTCTTGCTAAGCAAAGAGGCAAAGCTGCTGGTGAGGATCAGGTAACATCAGATCTGCTGAAAAATGGAGGACAGATTGTGTTAGAAAAACTAGCCACCCTGTTTACGAGGTGTCTCCAGACGGGAAGAGTACCAGAGTCTTGGAAGAACGCTAACATCATCTTAATACATAAGAAAGGAGATGACAATGACTTGAAGAATTACAGGCCGATCAGCTTGCTCTCCGTAGTATAAGAGCTATTTACAAAGGTTATTGCTAACAGAGTTAAGAAAACAATAGAGTTCAGTAAACCAAAGGAACAAGCATGATTTCGAACACGCTAATCAACAATCGACCCCATTCGTACTATTAATCAGGTAATCGAGAAATGCTCAGAATAAAACCAACCACTATACATATCCTTCATAGATTACGAGAAGGCGTTTGATTCAGTAGAAATATCAGCCGTCATGCAGACACTGCGTAATCAGGGCGTCGATGAAGTATATAAACATCCTGGAAGAAATATACAAGGGATCAACTGCTACCATAGTGTTTCATAAAGAAAGCAACAGAATACCAATCAAGAAGAGTGTAAGGCAGGGAGACACAATCTTCCCAATGCTATTTACTGCGTGCTTAAAGGAGGTTTTCAGAGGCCTAGAATGGGAACAGTTAGGGATAAGAGTCAATGGAGAATACCTTAGTAACCTGCGCTTCGCCGATGACATTGCATTGCTGAGTAACTCAGGGGACGAATTGCAACTCATGATTACGGAGTTAGACAAGGAGAGCAGAAAGGTGGGTCTTAAAATTAATCTGCAGAAAACGAAAGTAATGTACAACAACCTCGGCAAGAAGCAGCGCTTCGAGATAGGTAATAGTGCACTTGAAGTTGTAAAAGACTATGTCTACTTAGGGCAGGTAATAACCGCAGAGCCGAACCACGAGATTGAAGTAACTAGAAGAATAAGAATAGGGTGGAGCACATTCGGCAAGCACTCTCAAATTATGACAGGTAGATTGCTACTATCCCTCAAGAGGAAGGTATATAACAGCTGTATCTTGCCGGTACTTAGCCACGGAGCAGAAACCTGGAGACTTACAAAGAGGGTTCAGCTTAAATTGAGGACGACGCAGCGAGCAATGGAAAGAAAAATGGTAGGTGTAACCTTAAGAGACAAGAAGAGAGCAGAGTGGATTAGGGAACAATAGGGGGTTAAGGATATCATAGCTGAAATCAAGAAGAAGAAATGGACATGGGCAGGTCATGTAGCGCGTAGACAGGATAACCGCTGGTCATTAAGGGTAACTGACTGGATTCCCAGAGAAGGGAAGCGGGTTAGGGGGAGACAGAAGATTAGGTGGGCAGATGATATTAAGAAGTTTGCGGGTATGAATTGGCAGCAGCAAGCACAGGACCGGGTTAACTGGCGGAACATGGGAGAGGCCTTTGTCCTGCAGTGGACGTAGTCAGGCTGATGATGATCATGATGATGATGATGATGATGATTTCTTGCTAGAAAAATTGGGTTCCTTAAAAACTTGTGCAAGATTTGACACATTTACTGGCAGTGCATCAAAATTCACGCATAAAGAGTTTAGCTGGTGGTTAGAGCATTACTTTCAAACTTAAATTTTAATTTCTCAAGTCAAAATATTTGTAGCAGCTCTTTGCCTGCTGCGGCAAGTGCTGTCGGACGTAGCATTTTATGGCGACCATACATCTCCCCCCCCCCCCGAGAAACATCTTTTTTATTTATTTTGTTCATTTCTTAAGTACCTGCTTTGCCAAGAAACATTACAGTATGGAGGGTAAATTACATAAAAATAGGCTCATAACAATACATTCTTAAAGCATGGAAAAAAACGTCGTTTGAATATATATAGACAGCGTCAGGTGGCAGGGTGTTCCAGTCTCGTATAGTACGAACAAAGAAAGATTAGGGGTAAGCATCACCCTTACAAGGTAGCTCACGTACTTTAAGCTGATGATCTCGTATTTGAGAAACCTAATATTTTTTGCTTTCTGTCATACTAAGCATATTTTTCATACAATTGCCAATGACAAGCCGAACTGCTCTACTCTGCACATTTACAGGTTTATTAACAAGTTCTTCGCATAGAAGTCCCAGCAGACACACGCATAGTCTAGTGTGTTGTGGACATGCGTAAAGCACAACGGCTGTTTTGAGTTCCTGTGGCAAGCTATCGAAGTTTTATTTCAGAAAATTCGGTGCTGTTATAGCCTTGTTTATAACTTGAGTACAGTGTCTGTTCCACTTCAGATCAGCAGTGGAAAATACACCTAAACATTTATACCCTGCGACTTCTTGAAGAGTGGCATCTCATTGTGTTTGCTGTCTGTTCAATTGATTGTGTAAAAAGCTGGAGTAAAAATAAGTGATGATAATGATATTCTACAGCTTAACTAAATCACTTAGTTAAATGGTGTAGCGCAACATCGCTCGGTAATGTAACCTTGTTTTTTGATCTCAAAATGGTCCAGGTTCGCGATAGAAATAATTAAGTTTCATAGTGCTTAATGGCGCTGCTAATGACATTTTAGGGGCGAAGCTCCTAAGGCGTGGGTCTGTCCGTCCCTTGTATGTATGTATGTATGTATGTATGTATGTATGTATGTATGTATGTATGTATGTATGTATGTATGTATGTATGTATGTATGTATGTATGTATGTACGAACGTACGTACGTGACCACTCATAGTTCCACATTGACCAGCTGCTTCCACTACGCCAGTGATATTTTTTGCTTGATAGCTATATATTATTTGTAGGCACACGGGGTACCAAGGCGTATTTACGACATATTTACATTATGCCCAAGCGTAAGCCAAGACGAAGAAGAGAGCGCGCCCCACACCCAAAATCAAAGGCTTCCTTGGTGTTCGTCTTGCTTCTTCAGCGTGGAATCGTATATTATTATGTCAATATGCTGCCTATGACCTTGTTTCAATCATGGTGTTTTCTATGCAATGTTTAAATAAAAGAAAGTAGTGCTCACAAACTGTGTTGTCTGTGCAGTGTTGGAAATGTACTTTCATGCTCATCTATGTGGCTTTTAAACTTAAAAACAGGTAAACATAAACGATATAGCTCACCCATTTCTGACCTCTCATTTCTTTCTGCATGTGCAAACAGAAAGAGTTCATCATTAGTACATAAAACAAAGTTCGATTTAATCATAAGCTTAAAACACGAATACAAAAACACTGGCTGTAGTGGTGTAATGGCTAAGGTGTCTCGCTGCTAAGTTGAGGACGCCAGTTGGATTTCTGCATACGATTGGAGCAAAATGAAGAAGAAAAAATGTCGACGTTCTTATATTGGGGTGCACATTAAAGGACCTTAGATGTTGATTATTAATCTATTGCTCTCAACTATGAAATCTCAACTGCGCAGTATATTATGACTATGTACCGCAACTTACGCTTAAATGAATTCCATACTTTGAGGAAGTCGAAAACACTGCGAGCATCTTCATCTGAAAGACGTAAAAGAATATTACACAAGTTGTTTAGATTACTGTTTGTTTTTAAGCTACTCGTAAAGAACTTATGTTGTATTTTTATAGTCATAATCAGTAAGCTAGCATGTTGTGTGCATTTAGTTTTTTCCCAATCACATACTGCCACCTGTAATATTATTACTTGTGATGGTACAATAAATATTTAAATATTTTCCTAGTCAGCATGCATTTGGTGTCCAATGTTGTCAGGTAATGTGCTTGTATGTCAGCTGAATATATGCAGTATGATGGTTTACTGCACATCTGAAGATATTTTAAAATTGCATTAACAAGAACTTCATATTTCTCGTGAGAAGGACAAAGTGTGATTGCTTCCCGTTGTGACGGCAGTCGCAGAAAGTGGTTGACCTGTACATGCAGGGAACAAAATCCCTTAAAGGGGCCCTGCAACACTTTTTTAGCATGGTCAGAAAACGCTGCCGTTCGGTAGTAGACGCTCTTGAAAACTTGCGAGCCAAATGTTATAGCGCAGCACGCGGCCTGAAATTCACAATAAAGTATCAAAGCTAAAAATTGCTTTCTCTTTCCTCAACAAATGACAGAAGACACTCAGAAACCACATGTGTTTCTAATCCATATATCAGCCATTGGCTGATTTGAACCTGGTGCGCTCGGCCGTTACTGATATTTCCACGGGAGGCCTTCACTTGTCCACGAGTGCGTGCACGATCACACTGAAAAAGCCGTGTATTCGAAGAAAAAAAAAGAAGTGCTCGAGGTCACTAGGCGCTCATGACCATTTTTGTTTGTCCCTCCCACCCTCCCATCTTAGCTTCCAGAGCTTGTGTCGGGACGAGAGAAGAGAGAATGCAATTGCAGCATGTGACAAATTCTTGTAACTCCGCTCGTACTGAATGGATTCTTAAGCTTTTTGTGGCGTTGAATTTGTGAGGCAATAAGCTCTTCAAGTGAGTTAATTCTATGGTTACTCATAAAAGTGTTTCAGGGCCCCTTTAACCAGCTGCGCGTGGAATCGTACTCAACTCCAGATGATTGTCACGCACCACAGGTTTCTTCAGCCAGCTTGAAACATGACTTACACATTTGTGCGCGGTTCCCGAGTTTGGCACACGGCTGATTTCATGGTCCTCTATATTGCTGCCGTGTGATCACCTTGGCGAAGGCTCTACGATCTTAGACAGGCGATTCGATGTAACAGCTTGAAGGAACTTATGCGTACCCCTCTGTAGTGGTGTTGTGGTCATGGAGCTCCACTGCTCAACCGATGGTAACGGGATCAAATCTTAGCAGTGGCGGCAGCGTAATGATGGCGGCAAAATGCCAACTGTGTGCGTGCTTAGATTTAAAAAACCCAGAGTGGCCGGAAAATTCCGTAGCCCTTCACTGCGGCGTCTCTCAAAACTATATCGTAGTTTTGTGGTGTAAAACCCCAAAAATTATTTAAGAGCCATTCTAAAGCATCAATTTTTGTCTGGTCAGAATTAGATATACAGTAGAGTCTTAATAAATGGAAATCTGTTAAACGGAGCTACAGCTTAAATGGGACAATTGCCTCTGATATGTTTCATTTTGGCCTGCTAATCTGCGCTGAAGTTTATCTCTCAGTAAACCAAACTCCTGTGAAATTGAACATACTTTTCCCAGTACCTTTATGTTCCATTTACTGTAGCGGACAGCACATTGTCGAGGGTTTCCAGCCTGAGAGGTCATTATTCATATTCAAGCACAGAACGTGACTGTATTCTGAGTGATAATTTTCAGACTTAACACCAATTAAGGTAACGGTTCAAAAATGCAAAACTCAACATACTATCACCGTCTATATATCGCAATAGTTTGCCGACTGCATTGGCAGAACGTTATGTAAATTTGACACATGTACAGAAAGTTCATCATGATTCACGTGTAAAGAGTTTAATCCAAGCTGCCGCTCTAAGCAGTGCTTCTCAAGTCTTATATTTTCTGGTGAAATATTTGTGGCAGCATCTTGCCTCTTGCAGTGTTACAGTAAGCATCATCTTATTACGCATTTTTCGTGGACCACGCGTTTCGTTCTCTAATAAACATACAGTTGGGTTTATATTCTTGTCCGCCGAGTGTACGTTCATTTAGTGCACCATTCTTTAGCTGTACTCACCCTCTTCGTACACGCAGTCGCATTCATTGTGACTGTTGCATCTGGCTTGCAGAAGTACTTTATGAGGACCTTTATGTTTGCACTCTTTCAAACACGCTCTGTAGTTGCATTCTGTAATTCGCAAACAAAAACACAATGAAACGCAGGTTTACCATTGGGCATTGCTGAGCAGCGTACTAATTTACGAGTAGCGCGTGAATTTGAGCTTGCTGGTACACAGTCATAGCAAAAAAACTGAGTGAAAAAATACAGGGAATAGACAGAAGAGACCAGCACTCTGTCCAGTCTTTTCCTAGAGGTATTTAATCATACTAGTCGCGAAACTCCCCATAGGCTCGCTTCATGTTTCGAAATCTCAACACGTCATTGTCACCGCCCCCCCCCCAGCCACCTGTTGATCTGCTTGCCAACTCTTAAATGCATTATTTGTATTTTGTATTGTTGATCCCAGGTGGCGTGACAGTCGGCTAACATCCGAAAAATCGAGCCGACTGCGTGTTTAGATTTCGGAACGCCATTTCGCAACTGGTATGATTAAAAAAACTCTGGTTTCTTCCTAGTTGTAAATTACGAGTTCTCATGAAAAACAGGATTAGAGGCGGTTCTAATGTTGTTTGCTCGTGATTTGTTGTATCGTCCATATTTGCTACACAAAGAGGCACGAAACTTTTGTGTTCACGATAATTTGCAGGAAGTTTAATCTAGAAAGCGTGTGTATTGTGAGAATGTATGAAAAACCTTTTAGTCGTAGTATTTTTTTCTGTTATGCTGAAAACTTTGTCGAATGAATATTTGCTGATGATCTCAGGTACAGGTAAAAGTAAAAATAAATTCAAGATCACTGTATAGTGGACGCACGTGAATTTTATAAGGCAAAAAAGAACGACTGTAGTAGTCGCTGCGGTATGCGAATGTATTGCCTATATTACAAGACTAAAGAAAAATGATTGTTCACTAACTTGTTCGTATCCCCATGAATAAGCATAGTTTTTGCTGTAAATCTCAAAATTACACAGCCTTGCAGTGGAAATTACGAAGTTTCATAGTGCTTAAAGGTGCTGGCATTAACTTTTTTGCTCAAAAAACTTTCTATTTTCTGAATATGCATCTCCCGCTTCCCACGGGCCCTGTGACCCCTCACTCTGATTACTCTGGCAGCGACAACACTAACTTAGACCCCGACTTCTCCATTGAAGATGTGCGCCGAGCTCTCCAAGAGCTCAATGGCCGCTCAGCCCCTGGCCCCGATGGCATCACCAACAAGGTCCTACGCAACCTGGACGATTCCTCCGTCACTTACCTCACTGACACTATCAACAAGATATGGAAAAAGGGTGAGATACCCGATGCTTGGAAACTACCTAACACGGTTCTCATACCCAAGCCTGGAAAGGCACCGAGCCTAGATAACCTACGCCCCATATCTCTCACGTCGTGCGTGGGCAAAGTGGCTGAGCACGTCGTCCTCAACAGGGTTGGTCGATACCTCGAAGATAACGACTGCATCCCGCACCACATGATTGGCTTCCGACCAGGGTTATCCACTCAAGACGCCATGTTACTCCTAAAGCATCAAATTCTAGATGGCGGAAACACTCGGGACACTCGTGCAATACTCGGTGTCGATTTAGAAAAGGCCTTCGATACAATAACGCACTCGTCAATCTTGAAAGCGATCGCAGCCCTCGGCCTACGTCATCGATTTTACTACTTTATCCGCTCTTTTTTCACTCGACGCAGAACTGTCCTCCGCGTAGGAGACCTAGTGTAGGAAGAAGTGGAGCTCGGACAGCGGGGCACTCCTCAGGAATCCGTCCTCTCACCCACGCTCTTCAACCTCGTGATGATCGGGCTTTCCGAACGACATTCGAAAATTGACGGGCTCAAGCACATTATCTATGCGAAAGATGTAACCATATGGTGCTCCACAGGGTCGGATGGCTTCATTGAGTCCGCCCTGCAAGAGGCTATCGACACCACCGAGGCTTACCACGGCCACACCGGTCTCAGGTGCTCACCTGCGAAGTCGGAGCTATTGATATATTTGCCCAAACGCCGGGGTGCCGAGCCCAAAGGGTGGAAACCTCCGGCGGAACGCAATATAACCCTCCACACCAGAGATGGTCGTACTATACCCAGGGTAGACACCATCAAGGTCCTCGGCATGATCATCGAGTCCCGCGGAACCAACACCCAAACAGTACACAAGCTCTGGACTAAGAGTGAGAATGCCATACGACTCGTACGTAGAGTAGCCAACAGGCACCATGACCTCAAAGAAGACAACCAGCTGCGTCTCGTACACGCGTTTGTTCTGTGCCATTTTACCTACGTTGCCGCTATACACAAGTGGCTACGTGCTGAGCGCGAGCAAGTCAATGCGCGTATTCGCAAGGTAGTCAAACGAGCCCTTGGCCTCCCTATCACCACTCAAACGTACAAACTCCTCGAGCTTGGCGTAAATAACACGCTAGAAGAGATCGCCAAAGCTCAGGAACGTGAGCAATTGACCCGACTCACTACCACCAAGGCGGGCCGCCATATTCTGCGCGAGCTTGGCTTCTTCTCCTCGAGGGCCAGGGACCCCCCAGAGTTGACTCTAATTTCCCGCGATATCCGCGACCTTATCACGATCGCTCCCATACCACGAAATGTACACCCCGAATACAACAGAAGCAGGCACCTTGCGTGGGCGACCGCCATTCTCAAGCGCATAGACATGGAAGCGGACAACGTTTCGTTCGTGGACGCCGCTGCCTATCGCAACAACCAAGCCTTCGCCGCGGTCGTGGTATCATCCGCGCAGCAGACTTTTAACTCAGCCACAATACTCACCCGAAAACCCGAAGTAGCGGAGCAAGTAGCTATAGCTATAGCTATGCTCGACAGCAAACGGGAATTCATCTACAGCGACTCCCGGCCGGCCATCAAAGCCTTCGAACGCGGAGTCATCTCCGACCAGGCGTTGCGTATCCTGCGCAATGCGGACCCGAGTGCCCTGAAGCACCACACTGTCATCTGGTTCCCCGCCCATCTCAGCCAGGTGCTGGGTGCCCTATCCAACCTCAACGAGATCGCCCATGATGCAGCGCGCGCACTTACCGACCGCACTGCCACAGGGCAACCTCATCTTGCTGGGTTGGATACCAATCGGGATGCACCAATTACGTACAATGAAATTACAAAGCACTTTTACTTTGAACGCCGCATTTTGCCACCCCCACATCCAAAACTTAACCGACCGTAGGCATTAACCCTACGCCTATTACAGGCACACACGTACCCAAAACCTTGCCACGCTTCACGTTTATTATCCCGATGCATACCCCAGCCACACATGCACATCATGTGGACACACAGCGACACTCGAACACATGCTCTGGGAGTGTAGAACAACTCCTCCCGACTCTACCTCCAGCGAGTAAGTGGGAGAGGTCCCTCAGGAGCTAACTTCTCGCCGACCAGCAATGGGCCGTCCAGCAGGCCCACGAAGCGGCCGCCAGGTACTCCCTGTCGGTCCCTACGTGGGAGACGCCCGCTACGCGCTAAGCGCGTCCTGCAGGACTGAAATAAAGTTTTTTCATTCCATTCCATTCTGAATATTCTGGTAATAACCTTGGCTCATTCACGACTTTTTTTCTGTGCAATGTTTACATGAGTAAAAGCCGTGCTTCCTAACTGTATCGTTTGAGCAATATTGTGAATGTAGCAGCATGTTCACCCGTCCAGCTTGAATACAAAAAAGGCGAAAATAATATAGCTCACCCATTTCGGACCTCTTCATGCTTTCTGCTTGCATAAAGAGAAATAGTTTATTATGAGCATACGAAACAAAAAAGTTTAGTAGTGAGCATATTAAACAAATATAGAAACACCTGCCATGGTAGTTAAATCACAAAGGTGTTACAGGCCGATTATCTTGCTCTCTAGAGTATACAAGATATTTAGAAAAGTAATTGCTAACAGAGTAAAGAAAACATTAGAATTCAATCAACCAAAAGAACAAGCAGGATTTCGAACAGGCTACTCAACATTCGACCACATTCATACTATCAATCAGGTAATAGAGAAATGCTCAGAATATAAGCAACCACTATACATAGCCCTCATAGATTAAGAGAAGGCATTTGATTCAGTAGAAATATCAGCCGTCATGCAGACACAGCGGAATCAGGGTGCCGATGAAGTATATATAAACATCCTGGAAGAAATCTACAGGGGATCAACTGCTACCATAGTGCTTCATAAAGAAAGCAACAGAATACCAATCAAGAACGGTGTTAGGCAGGGGGACACAATCTCCCCAATGCTATTTACCGCGTGCTTACAGGAGGTTTTCAGAAGCCTAGAAAGGGAACAGTTAGGGATAAGAGTTAATGTAGAGTACCTTAGTAACCTGCGCTTCGCCGATGACATTGCATTGCTGAGTAACTCAGGGGACGAATTGCAACTCATGATTACGGAGTTAGACAAGGAGAGCAGAAAGGTAGGTCTTAAAATGAATCTGCAGAAAACGAAAATAATGTACAAACCCCTCGGAAAAGAGCAGTGCTTCGAGATAGGTAATAGTGCACTTCAAGTTGTAAAAGACTGTCTACTTAGGGCAGGAAATAACCGCGGAGCCGAACCACGAGATTGAAGTAACTAGAAGAATAAGAATGGGCTGGAGCACATTTGGCAAGCACTCGCAAATTATGACAGGTAGATTGCCACTTTCTCTCAAGAGAAAGGTATATAACAGCTGTATTTTGCCGGTAGTTAGCTACGGAGCAGAACCCTGGAGACTTACAAAGAGGGTTCAGCTTAAATTGAGGACGACGCAGCGAGCAATGGAAAGAGAAATGGTAGGTGTAACCTTAAAAGACAAGAAGAGAGCAGATGGATTAGGGAACAAACGGGGGTTAAGGATATCATAGCTGACATCAAGAAGAAGAAATGGACATGGGCTGGGCATGTAGCGCGTATACAGGATAACCGCTGGTCGTTAAGCGTAACTGAATGAATTCCCAGAGAAGGAAAGCGGGTTAGGGGGAGACAGAAGTTTAGGTGGGCAGATGAGATTAAGAAGTTTGCGGGAATAAATTGGTAGCAGCAAGCACAGGACCAGGTCAACTGGCGGAACATGGGAGGGGCCTTTGTTCTGCAGTGGACGTAGTCAGGCTGATGATGATTAATAATTGAAAACTACAGACATAAAGATACTGAGCAGTCATTTAATAATAACCGAGCGCTGCAAAAAGAGGTTTTCGCACCTTATAATTAACAAAGTACATATGAGGAGTCAGAGATAATTGAGTACATCTGGGCAGTCCCACTGTCGTCCAATGAATTCAACGATTTATCAGCTAAAAGCTGGAAATTGCTATGAATAAATGTCCGAAATCATGCTAAGATTGCGCATTACATCTTAGACAAAGACAGTAAGCTTTTATTGTTTACACACTCGCACCTAATGACAAAAGTGTTTATTGCTGGCAATTGTCTGGATGTGTACTATGCTTTTTACGATGTACAGACACCAGACCTTTTCTCAGGAAGAAAACAGATTGATTCTTTTGGTAATGTCGGTGTTAAAAACAACATTATAATAATTTTTTTCGGAGTCACGCACACGTCACAAAAGTGCACGTTTTCGTGATTTTTCGCCATTGAGACATAAGTGCAAGTTTTTTTTATTACATGAGAAATGGCGCTTTTTGTTGAATAGTTGTCCCTCCAATAAACATATGCTATCATGCTGTTACTGTCACGTAAAAAATGATTTCAACTACTGACAAGATTTTGTAAAATTCACTATTGGTAATAATACTACTAAATTACCCGAATGGCACAACTTTTTTGATGTGCATTTTGTGTTTGATTTCCAAGACTTATTGTTTTCCACAGTTTTTTTGCAATATACAGATGTTCAAAATACCGATTACACTGTATAAATATGTTCTTTATAGGATTGCAGATGCTGAACAACAAAATATATTTAGGAAAGAAATGTTTAGCTACACATCAAAGTGTTGGGTCTGTAACCACTGCGCAAATCGCTACGAGACACTCCTGAAACAGAGCCACGTTTCCCTGTGAGGAAATAACCGGGCTGATTCCGAAATGTCAGCGTTAAATGTGTTTCACGTTACTTTGCGATTAAATTTTTTTCTTGGTTCACGTTCCCGAATGTTTACCGCCATGCAAAACAAAACAAACTGTAGGTTGTGTTTCCGTTTGTATGCAGCTGCTAAACTGCGAAACTTTTTGCCGCACATTATATGACTTGCATCATTCTTTTTAAAGTGAGCATGTTCACAGTGGCCTGTGTTGGTAACACTTTTACATAACACTGTTCAAGTTGTAGACACTTCACGAATTTCTTTTCGGGTAGAGCAAAGGCCGTCAGTTCTTCAAAAATAACTTTGATGTTGATTTTATGTCATCATACCCACTTAAAAACAATATATTTTGCATGTCAGCACAAGGTCTCTAGCTATAACCCCTGAGAAGTTATGGGGTCAGATATTTATGATAAATGACAATGTTCTTGTAAATAGACAAGCGACAGTGACAAAGTCTGAAGAAACCTTCATGTGTTAGGATTGGTAATTGGAAGGTTGTCTTGTGCAGGCAGCTTAAATACGTACCTTCTGTTTTATTGCAGTAACAGTAGTTGTTTATGCACATGGAAGTTTTAAGCTTTCCATTCGGCAGTGCTTTTTACAGTACTCACGGCATATGTCTTCTGTGCAGTCTGAAAAACCCGAAAATATGAAGGTGTAGTTTGTACCAACATTTGTGCACCATTTCACTGAATATTCTCTTATTTAGGACCATTTAGGATTATTAACAGAGAAGTTACATGATGGCCAAGGTCAGTTAAAAAAGGGTGACCTAATGACTTTGCACCAGTGTGAACTTTGAAGTTATACGAGGAGGCATTTTCATTGTTGTCATGACTCGCCGCAAGAATTCGGTTTCTTGGCGTTTTGTTTCTATTTTACAATTGATATTCATTGAAAAAATACATTTATCACAAGTGAAATTTTGATATATATATATATATATATATATATATATATTGTGAAGAGATTTATTAGCCGTTAAAGGCAGCGACGAGACAGCGTGATGAACCGTCCAGCGATCGGCACAGCAACGAACCGAAGCACGAGCCGAGAGAGCCGGGCGTTGGCGATGCTGCTCGCTGCAGGCACATCTTCTTCTTCACAATCGCCCCCGCTGAAAAAGGAGCCATCCTGGCGACTTAAGAAGTTTCAGGCAAAGGCTCATGGTACGGTTTCAGTCGGGAAACATGCACGATCTCACGTGCACGCCAGCGCATGTCGTCCGATCGGGAAACTGGTTCAATTAGGAAATTAACCGGAGAGGTTTTCTCCAAAACGGTGCAAGGCCCCTCGTACCGGGGGACAAGTTTCGAGGAGAGTCCCGGTGTTTGGTATGGGATGGCAAGCCACACAAGAGACCCTGGGGCGTAGCTGGGATCCGGAAGAGAGGTGCTACGGGTTTCTTTCTGGCGTTGTTGCTCTTCCGAGGTGAACGCACGGGCGAGCTGGCGGCACTCTTCGGCTTGTCTAGCAGCATCGGAGATAGGTGGACACTCGGAAGCATCAGGACGGTAAGGAAGTATGGTATCAATTGTATGGGAAGGCTCACGTCCGTAAAGAAGAAAGAAAGGTGAGAATCCCGTGGTGGTTTGTATTGCGGTGTTATATGCGAACGTGACGTATGGGAGAACACGGTCCCAGTTGCTATGATCAGATGCCACGTACATTGAGAGCAAATCACCTAGCGTGCGGTTGAACCGTTCCGTTAGTCCGTTAGTCTGCGGGTGGTATGCTGTCGTTTTCCGATGAATGACGTGGCATTCCGAAAGCAGAGTTTCGACGACCTCGGAAAGGAAAGCGCGGCCTCTGTCACTAAGGAGCTCTCGAGGTGCACCATGTCGAAGGATAAAGCGTTGCAAAATGAAAGAGGCGACATCCTGAGCTGTAGCGCTCGGCAAAGCGGCTGTTTCGGCGTAGCGTGTCATGTGGTCAACCGCCACTATAATCCACCGATTATCGTCTGGTGTCAATGGAAGGGGACCGTAGAGATCAACGCCGACGCGATCAAATGGCTTGGCAGGGCATGGAAGTGGCTGCAATGCGCCAGTCGCACGTGGCAGTGTTGATTTACGTCGCTGGCAGTCAGGACAGCACTGCACAAATTTACGTACAAAATTGTACATGCCGCGCCAGTAATAGCGATGGCGAAGGCGTTCATATGTTTTGAACACTCCGGCGTGGCCACATTGTGGATCGTCGTGAAGGGAGGCGCATACTTGCGATCGTAAAGTGCGTGGAATGACCAGCAACCACCGGCGGCCATCGGGAGCGTAGTTGCGTCGATGAAGAAGTTGATCGCGGATGGCGAAATGGAAAGCTTGACGTCGGAGGGATCGAGATACTGGAAGGTGGGCGTGCCAGATAAATATTCGATAAGAGAGGCGATCCACGGGTCACGACGTTGTTCGGTGGCAATCGAGTCGAGATTTAGCGATGACAAGGTCTGGAGGCAAGTGTTTCCGCACGTCTGATCTGGTGGTAAAGGTGAGCGAGACAGGGCATCAGCGTCAGAGTGTTTGCGTCCGCAGCGGTATACGACGCGAATGTCGTACTCCTGGATGCGGAGTGCCCATCGCGCAAGGCGGCCAGAAGGGTCTTTCAACGTGGAGAGCCAGCAAAGCGCGTGGTGATCAGTTACTAGATCGAACGGGCGGCCGTATAAGTACGGCCGGAACTTTGCAAGCGCCCACACCAGAGCCAAACACTCTTTTTCTGTCACGCTGTAATTAGTTTCGGCTTTCGTCAGAGTGCGGCTAGCGTAGGCTACAACGTATTCTGAATAGCCGGGCTTTCGTTGAGCGAGGACCGCGCCTAGCCCGACGCCGCTGGCGTCGGTGTGCACTTCGGTAGGAGCCGTCGGGTCGAAGTGGCGAAGAATAGGTGGGGAAGTGAGCAGACGGCGCAGAGTAGTGAAGGCAACGTCACATGCAGGGGACCAGGAGGTGAGGTTCACGTCACCGCGAAGAAGCTGGGTTAACGGTGACATGATAGATGCAAAATTTCGAACAAAGCGCCGGAAATAGGAGCATAGGCCTACAAAGCTGCGAAGTTCTTTCATGGTCGTCGGCTTGGGAAATTCTGCGACTGCTCGAAGTTTTGCTGGGTCTGGTAATACGCCGTGCTTGGACACGATGTGACCTAGGATGACGAGCTCGCGTGCAGCGAAGCGGCATTTTTTCAGGTTAAGCTGCAGACCAGCGTTGGTCAGACAGCTCAAAACGTGCCTGAGGCGAAGGACGTGCGTAGGAAAGTCGTGGGAGAAAACCACGACATCGTCGAGGTAACAGAGGCACATATTCCATTTGAGGCCACGTAGCGTATTATCCATAAGACGTTCAAACGTGGCAGGCGCGTTACAAAGCCCAAAGGGCATGACGTTAAATTCATATAGTCCGTCTGGTGTAATAAATGCCGTTTTTTGGCAATCGGCTTCTGCCATTGGGACCTGCCAGTAGCCAGACCGCAAATCTAGTGACGAGAAAAATTCCGCTCCGTGAAGGGTGTCAATGGCGTCATCAATGCGCGGCAAAGGATAGACGTCCTTGCGGGTTATCTTATTCAAATGACGATAGTCCACGCAAAATCGGATAGATCCGTCTTTTTTACGCACCAGGACGACGGGACACGCCCAGGGACTGTGGGATGGTCGAATGACGTCTCTACGAAGCATATCTTCAACTTGATCGTTGATGACGCGGCGCTCTTCAGCGGAGACACGGTATGGTCTTTGACACAGTGGCTGGTGTAGGCCGGTGTCAACATGATGTTTGACTTGTGATGTGCGGCCCAGTTGAGGTTGCGACACATCGAACGAACTCCTGAACTCATGCAGAAGATTCAGCAGGTCGGCATGTTCGGTGGGAGTGAGAGTGTCGGCGATGGCGCTGGAAAACGTATCATCGGACGACTCCCCGAGTGCCGACAGTGCTTTGGGGTGGTCGCAGTAGTCGTCCGGGACATCAAACAAAAACGAAGGGTCGAGATCCTGCACGTGGCCGAGACATTCCCCCGCAAGCAATGTTACAGGTGTGGAAAGCGGATTGCTTACGAACATGTTGCTTCTTCCGGCGGCAAGATCAATTGTTGCGAAAGGCAGCGGCAAAGCTCGACGACTTTTGAAGATATCGGAAGGCATAAAAAGAACTGTAGCGTCAGTGTAGGCGTTGCATGAAACGGGAACAAGGGCGAAATTTCCAGGCGGAATATCGGTATCTTCATGAACGAGCAACTTCGGCGGCTGATGAGAAGCGTCCAGTAATGGGACATCACACAAGGGTGAAAACTCAACTTCGGCGCGTGCGCAGTCTATGACGGCATTATGGCGGGATAGGAAGTCCCACCCGAGGATGACGTCATGCGAACAGACAGGAAGAACAATAAACTCCACGATGTAAAGAATGCCTTCTATGGAGACTCTTGCAGTGCAGGCTGCGAGAGGCGTTACTTGTTGTGCGCTTGCGGTGTGAAGCGACAGTCCCGAAAGCGGCGTCGTTATTTTGCGTAATAAACGGCAGAGATTAGCGGCAATAACAGAAACAGCGGCGCCAGTGTCGACAAGGGCGAAAGTACGATAACCTTCAACAGTTACTGCGACCACGTTAGCAGGAGAGGAGCGAGGGCTTAGACAGTTCGAAAACGGCGCAGTTCTTGCCTCTTGAACTGCGTTGCTTAGTTTTCCTGGTCAGAAGGTCTGGGCCGGCGACGCATTGGGGAGGGCGATCGCCGACGAGGAGAGGGTGCGCGCGGCGTCACGAAGTCGGGGTCGTTAGGAGGGGCATAGCGAGGGGACGAGACCGGCCCGTATTGCGCGAAGGGTTGGCTGCCGGGTTGCGACGATCGGACATAGTCGCCGAACGTCTGAGGTCGACGGCGGCAGTAGCGGGCAACGTGTCCGGGAGTAAAGCAGGCGTAGCATATCGGTCGGTTATCGCGCGTCCTCCAAGAATTGGCTACTGGTGGAGGTATAAGCAAGGTGCAGTATAAGCAGCCGGGTGTGCGGGCTGTGGGCGCGAGGTATAGGGTGGTTGCGGAAGCCTACGCACAGCGTCTGCATATGTGAACGGCGCTGCTACAGGCTGCATCACTTGCGAGCAGGCGACAGGAGGACCACAGGCTGCGCTGCATACGTTAGGGGCGCGGCCACAGGCTGCACGGCTGGCGGATAGGCGACAGGAGGGCCTACCAGCTGCGCGGCACTCTGGCAGTGGGCAAGGCTGGATAGAGGCGGCTCGTGGTGCGCAACAGGAACAGCTTGGGCAACCTCTTCCGAAATAGCAGTGCGAAGCGGGGCAGGTAGACGGGTGGTGGTCTCGTGAGTGAAGGGCACTAGGGAAAGTTGGCGGGCGACTTCCTCACGGACGAAGGCTCGAACTTGCTGAAGCAGCGGTGAATTGTCCGGCAGGGTGTCGAAACTGCACAGTGACTGACCACCATGCTGAGGCTGCCGAGTCAGAGTGCGTTGCTTGTTCAACTCGTCGTAGCTCTGACACAAGCTGACGACTTCGGAAACTGTGCTCGGATTCCTTGCCAAGAGCATATGAAATGCGCCGTCGTCGATGCCCTTCAGGATGTTTTTAACCTTGTCAGATTCGGGCATGGTGTCATTCACACGTCGGCAAAGGTCGACGACGTCCTCAATATAGCTGGTAAAGGTCTCGCCAGTCTGCTGAGAGCGGACGCGCAAGCGCTGTTCTGCCCTCTGCTTGCGGACAACCGGCCGACCGAACACTTCAGCACATGACGTCTTGAAGACGCTCCATGTGGGGATGTTGTGTTTGTGGTTATTAAACCACAATTCGGCGACGCCAGTGAGATAAAATATCACGTGGCCCAGCTTGTCGGCTTCATCCCACTTATTGTTGGCGCTCACCAGTTCGTAGTGCTCGAGCCAGTCTTCTACGTCGGTCCCATCCGCACCGCTGAAGACCTTCGGCTCCCGTAGCCTGGGATGGCCAGGGTAGTTGAACTGGAGCGAAGGCGTCGATGTAGTGGCGTTGGTAGTCATGACAGGTGGTAGCGTGCGGCTTCGCAGCTCCAGGGTGTAGCAACGGGGATTAACAGCACCTCCACCAAATGTGAAGAGGTTTATTAGCCGTTAAAGGCAGCGACGAGACAGCGTGATGAACCGTCCAGCGATCGGCACAGCAACGAACCGAAGCACGAGCCGAGAGAGCCGGGCGTTGGCGATGCTGCTCGCTGCAGGCACATCTTCTTCTTCACAATATATATATATATATATATATATATATATATATATATATATATATATATATATATATATATATATATATATATAGACAGTTGTCAACTAGTAGCGATTTCTTGCAGACGTTTACTGCAGCAGGAGGACTAAGAATTGTGGTAGTTAGTAGATGGAATATTTCAGCGTTGAACTTTTTTTATCAAGCAACTTTCCTTTTTCTGCAATTTGTGCCCTAAATGTGGCAAATTGAAATTGTTACATTTGTTTTTAGTGACTCAGTCCTTGCAGCGCTGTGTTGGAAAACAATGAGTGCTTGGAAATGCAGAAGATGAGCCTAACAAATGACGTCGAAGGTTTTTAAACAATGAAGATTAGACACCAGGACCATCATTACCATTGTTCAAAAACGATTTCAACATCACGGTTCCTTAGAAACGTTTGTACAGAAATCAATGACTAGGACACAGTGTTTGAGATCGCGGCAGAAACGACTAGTGTAGAGGCGACGGCTCAGTCTAGACACTTCGAAGGTATTCACTAAGCTCCTCCCGCCAGGAGGTGCCAGTGAGTGTGCCGCCATTGCCCTAGTTCGTCAGCAATGCGGCATATTACAGCCGGATGTTTGGCACCGCTTCACCTAACACGTTTTCTTAATCAGCATACCAAATATGTGCTGCCGAGAACTTTGGTTGTGGTCCGACGATGACTTTCATGTGTGATACCACAAGTATGGCGACTTCCGCACTAGCACCCCTTGCGGATGACGTCACGTGAATTCCTCCTGCATGATAGCGTACACTTACCGTAGATGTTTAAAATACAAGTACACTATGCAAGCACGTTTTGAGCGTAATCGATCGAGTCAAAAACCAAATTGACGACTGCGAGTGCAAAGCGAGATGTGTCATGTGCATTTCGGGCAAATCGTTACTCTCACCGTCTTCGTACGAGCAGCGGCACATGTCGGCCTCGGGGCACGATGCCTTCAGGACTTTCTTGTTGGGTTTTGCAGCCTGGCAGGCCTTCAGGCAAGCCTTTTGTGTGCACCCACGTTTCTTTACTAGAAGGAAAGAAGTAGCTAAGTGTAAACAGATTTGGTTCTTGCTAGGTGAAATATTTATACATGCTGAGCAGGCACCAGTCACTGTGACATGGTGCCAGTTTAGCGTCTATAGTCGCATACAATAATAGAAGTCAGCAACATTTCGGCCTCAAAGGCGGATGCACACAAGCCCGTACCAAAGGGCGCGCTCTCCTGGCTAAGCTCATGAGCCGGGTGGCTGGTGACCCCGCCTTCGGAGGACGCTGCCGAAAGCAAGAGTGGGACTATTTTTTCAGTTGTTCAACCGAAGGGCGACCTGCTATTCAAGCAGAACAACAGGTCACCCTTCCAGTTAGAATGTAAAAGGGACCACTTGCTTCTAGTTTATCTGGTAGCTAGTGGTCCCTGTAGGTGGCCAGTTGAGTTGTAACTAGGATTAGCTGCTTACTGTAACCACTTGCAACTGCATGGGGCCAACTGTTCCCAGAATTGGCCCCCAGCTGTAACCAGTTGACCTGCAGTAACCAGTCTATTAAACTGAATGCCAGAGTTGAAACTAGCTGGATTACCAGTTGGCGCCGCTTACCTAACACGTTTTCTTAGTCAACATACTGGGTACAGCAAAGGCTGCGAGTGCTTCAAAAATACTTCGGATGTTGTTTTATGTCATCATACCCACTTAAAAAACAATATATTTGCATGCCAGCACAAGGACTCTAGCTATAACCCCTGAGAAGTTTATGTGGTCAGTTATTTATGATAAATGACACTGTTTTGACCGGGGGCGTTAAAAATACCAGATGGTCAAAATTTCCGGAGCTCTCAACTACGGCGACCCTCATGATCATATTGTGGTATAGGGGTGTAAAAGCCCAGATATTATTGAGGTGTGTAGCGATAAGCGAAGCCAGTCTAGCGAATGAGCGGATGCGTACGAGGTGCACTCTACTCTTTAGGGTGAAGCTCAAGTGTTTCTAAGCTTTTAAATGCCGTGCATTTCTTAATACGCACGAAGTCGCGGATCCGGCGGTGCCATCCACACCCCCACTGCGCATGCTCATGTCGCGTGCCAACTGTTGCTCCCCTCCCTCTCTCTCGCCTCGCAAGGCCGATGCAGGGAGCGTCTGCTAGTGAAAAAAAACACAGACTTCTCACACTTCACAACCATTCACTGACCACCCCCTATATGTACACTGGGTCGTGCATTCAGAATTCAGTCAAGGGCATCTTGGCTTTCGCTTCACATGAAGGTTTGCTTGATGGAAGCAACAGTACCTTCAATCAGAAGTGGGGCAACACCTAACACCAGCGTCCCACCACTCGTTGGAGGCAGCGGTTATCCTTTATTCAACAAGAACAATAAGGACGAAATGACAAGCATTCCCAAACCATACCTAATTGTGCAACACTCGTGTGATACCCCCCCCCCCCCACTCTGCGACGCACTTACTCCGGTTCTCCCCAAGGGGAGATCTACGCATGCAGCATTTTTTTAGTAATCGGGCAGGACTGAGGGTTGTAAATTATGAGCCTCACATTACTCGGAGCTGTTAGTACGTATCTGGCGGGCGCGTTGGTGGCGCAACACAGTGGCACATATTGTCCCTGCAGGTCGCCTTTTTGAAGTCCGCATGTGGAACTGCCACTTTGCAGTAGTCCTGACATTTCAAATCTACGCACTCTGAAACGGGATGAAATGACATTAGGATTGCTGCCTCTTCTTTTCTCCACATATGCCAGTACGATGATGCATGGACTGATTACTTGTAGCGGGGACTCGCAGTCTAAAATTACACTCGAATTAGGGACGTATAGTCAATAGTAACTGAAAGTTATTCTTCCAGATTCTTCCAGTTGTGCAGCTTTTATTCGTGCAACCTCGTTACCGTTTTAATATTCCCAGCTGTTCGTTAGCTTACCTGGCAGAAGTCTTGGAAATATTGCGGCCAGACACCAAAGAACATTACAACAGGTGACTTGTATTAAACATTTATTTGATTTATTTAGACTTAGCTTTATGAATGACAAACAGTGCTTGCATCTTGAGTGCCATCTTATTTGCCAAAAAAAAGCAACAACCACAAGCTTAAAGTACCTTACACATCTGGTTCCTCGGGTAACTTGCCTCGACAACTTGACAGCTTCATTTGTGCTTAACTCTAAAGTTGGCTCCTCTAATTGACAGACTGATATGACAAGTGCATGGTGAAGGCAGCCAAGTATACTAAGAATGATTTTAAATGCTGGATTCACTAACACCTGTTATCTATGGGTGAAACAGCGGCAACAGTAAAGTTCGTGTAAGCAGTTTTGTGAAATTGAAGTTGAATGCACAGGGCGTCTGGGTGGGCTCCTTAGTTCATGAACATTATGGGGGAACCGTGCAATATACGGGCACAGCGCTATCAACCTGGTCGACTTCGGTGGTTTTCATTATGAGCGGAATGGATTCCACTTGCTGATGCTCCTGATGCGAAGATTAGTTAGCAAAATTGTCAATTCTATAAATCAACGCTTTGTTTTTCATTTGTTAATACCCATTGTGCACGAAGTTTTCGAATATAGTATATGAATTTTTTATAGTACAATTCTTCCTAGTTACTATAGCGTATGTGCGGTGCAACTTAGTTAAATATAAAATGGGCTTTTATTTTTGCATTCTCATATAATCTACTATATCTTTGGATCTTCTTACCATCTTCGTACGAGCATGTGCACATGTCGGATGCCTTGCATGAGACGTTGAGCACCTTTTTATCGGGTTCTGCCTCCCGACAAGCTTTCCAGCAGGCGTCTATCAGGCACGCTGCAAGAAGGTCATAAACTAGGCAGCAGTGCCACATGGTAGAGTGACACGTGCTCTATTACATTTTGTCAGGAAGAACTGGCGTACTCAGCTCCTAGCGAACTGCGATGTAGTTTCTCTGCTTAAGCTTGTTAATGAAGTGTTTCATTGAATTTTTAATGATGAAGCTGCAGGGGTGGCAGTACTTGCATTTCGTAATTTGAGGAGCCTCTAAACAGCACCTAGACAAATGCGTGCACCTGGGTGTCGCTTCACTTATGGCCGAGCACCTTGTCTTCAAGATGTGAGGAGACTACCTCTTCTTGTCTCGGAATTTATGACAATGAGATCTGCATTTTATAGAGAATGCCTTCATCATACTCACTCATCGGGACCGGTAGTGGTGCTACTGTTTCTCTGCGCCGTTAGAAAGTATGCGCTTTTCTGGCTCTTCTTAACACATACACTGTTATTTTAAACGCCAAATTTCGATCGGAGTCTCCTTTATACCATTTGAAGGCTCTTTATGTTGTCTAAAATTTAATTGCCTCTGGATTTAATAAAAAGACGATGAGCACTTACAGTGTGTTTGCAGCGTTCCTCAAACGACACGAAGGACTACAGAGAACACAAAAACAAGACAGAGCCTGTCTTGTTTGCGTTCTTGAAACCCTATTGTCTGCTGTTTTGAGAACACTGTCAAGATGAAGCAACTCTGCCGTATAGAGGTATTGTACTTGATGCATATTATTATATTTTTGCATAGTGTGTGCCTGCTTTGACTGCACAATGCACATGCTGTGGCGGGGATAGAATTTCGTACGACGTCAGAAGAAAGAAATGACAGTAGGACATAATTCATCAAGCTTTAGAGCATCAAGATTTCTACTGGTGTGTAGTGCTCGTCCGCTCTGGTGCATTCGCCGGCAGTGCGTTCGAAATGTGCTAAATCGGCCGGAAATATCTTGAAGCGACAACGTGAGACTACAAGGTGCCCTTCTCAGTTTGAGTGGGCTTGTAATGCCATAATAATGATAATAAAAAATAATGCATTGAATGGTCTGTTGATAAGCCAGTGATCTGTTGCAAGATTGCGTGCCATTCGGTATGCCAAACAGGCTTATTAATTGATTGATTTGTGGGGTTTAACGTCCTAAAACCACCATATGATTATGAGCGACGCCGTAGTGGAGGGCTCTGGAAAGTTCGACCCCCTGGGGTTCTTTAACGTGCACACAAATCTGAGTACACGGGCCTACAACATTTCTGCCTCCATCGGAAATGCAGCCGCCGCAGCCGGGATACGAACCTGCCAAACAGGCTTAGCTCCAGCTTCACATAGGATCGAGCTACAAGTATCTGAGCCATGAGGATTTGAAGCAGCCAAAAGACAAAACACGGACGAGGAAAGCGGCACACACAACTGGCATGCAATACACACATACGCAGTCCAGTCGTGTGTGCCACTCGTGTATACTGTCTTTTGACTAGTTCAAACCTTCAAAAATATGTTCACTGCCGTCCTTTGCGAAAGACAACATGCGAGCGCACGGCTCTTGCTGCTGCCCACAACAGCAAAAGCCGATAGCTAAAAGAAAGCACGCCCGCTTTTTGGCTGTACCTCCCGTAGTGAGGGAGCGTATAATTAATCTAGCAGCGCTTGACCAACGGCCATGACTCGCCATCTTATTTGCCTATAGATGACGCCAAAATCGGACATGGTTTCTTCCTTGATGACTCTTTAGGCAGCCGCCGCAGAGTGCAGGCCATGGGCTCACGTGTTTCATTTCATGAAGGCACTACGACATCGTACCAACCGACTCATTTCGCAACTTAACTGTTGTGTGGATCATGTCTGCTCAGTCGAATAGGACTGCTTTCGGCTGCCCGAGGGGCTTGATTAGTTGAGTAACTATTTAATTTAAAAGTGAAACGCTAACAAGAAGTCTGCAGCTGCCATCAACACGAAAGCCGTAGTAAGTGCGAAGCAGTCATACGCGTGCACTTCGGCGACGCTGACGCCCACGGACAAGAGCGTGCTGGCGTTGCAACCATGAATCCTGCTCGTCGTTTATGAATGGAAAGAAACTCATTAGTGTTTAAGTAGTGCCCTCGCTTCCTTCTTTCCATTCGCACCTTCACGTCACTCGTGACCCTTGCTTCTCTTTTTTCACCACTTGCTATTTGTCACAGGGTCGTGGCGTGCACGACGGTAGCAGGCTGGATGTTCAGATGAAAAATGTTTATTAGACCGAACTTGTGGCTGATAAACGGAAAGTCAGATTACAGTAACACAGCGGCACTGATAACGACGAACATCGTCGGCTATCGAGCAACTGACCAGCGTAAGCACGTCGGCGTTTATACACGTGCTGTCGAATAATCTAGCATTATCGCTGGCGGCCGCGTAAGTTCCAGAATAATCAGCAATGTTCTTGAAGTGGGCGTAATCTTAACAAAACAATCTGCTACATTCCTGGAAACTTCTCGAACGCTGCAGGCGTGGTTTTCGCTGAGAATCACTGACAGTGCAACGGTGTGATAACAACAACTTATAAAGAAATGTGGCGTTGCCAAATGCCACCTAGATAATTTCAGGCCTGCTCACTGTTTTTGCCGCGGGTTCTGACGTCACTTCATTTAGACTGGTGTGCTTCGCTGCACGGACGTATCTACGCTTGCTCTCGTCGCTCGAGAGACTTGGATTGCCAAACCTGACGAACGTTTTCGTGGCGTGCTGGTGTGCCTGTGGCGACTCGGGAGGGTCGTGTTTTTCTGTGTCCGTTAGCTGCAGCGTGGATGTGCGATGCGCTTTGGTGCACTGGATATTCGCAATCTGTACGGCTGCGAATCCGAGCGGTTTGGCAATGCTGCGTGGCAAATTGTCGCAGCAAAGGGACTGAAGTTGTGAGTGTTCTCGTTTCCTAAGGGCAACCGAAGCACGAAATCGAAGAGTGTCGTTCGTCAATGGTCACGCCGAAATCCGTTTTCTTTGTGACCCGAAGGTACGCGCGTCCGTACTACATATTTCTAAGTCGTTCCATGACACCATCTCCAGCATGTTCCGTTCTTGATCTAAAGTAAAGGTGTCGTGTTTGCTTTGGACTTGTTGGCGTTAGGCCTGACAGTGAAGCAATAACGCGCGTGGCGGTACATTTTAAGAAACAATTGTTTTTCCTTCAGGGTCGGTAAACATTTGGCTATAGGCGATTAGCGCAGCAGAATTCTTGTATTACGTCTGTTTACTTGAGTAGGAAAAAGGAAAGAGTGCTGTTGCATTACTTAGTGTATCGGTTTAGTGCATAGTATTTCTTGCCGGGTGTTCCAACCACTATATTGCGGTTTTATAATTTTGCGCCAGCTTTGCCATCACCTTAGCCTAATATGTTTTCTTGAAATGTATATAGATATGTGTAGACACTTACGGTAAAGTGCCTTTTAAAGGGGTGACAGCTCTACTTCCGGCTAGAATATTTAAGAACCACTACCAAATATACCGACAGAAGAACCGGCAGAGCAGTAGAAGTGCCCACGGGGGCTGCAAAGTTCAACCTAGACCCAGTACCAACATTTTTCCCAAACCCTAAGTTATATAAGCGACTTCGCACCACGTAAGAGGGGCCAGAGAAAAAGAGGAAGCGCCATCCTTGTGTCGGTCACAAGAGATACTTTGGTGAAACGAAATATTTTGCTTTCTGTTGCAATGGTCATCGCCCTGATGTCGTGCTGAATAACATATAGTAGTGGCAGCCGCACAAACTCTCATAACTACGGGTCTATGAAGACAGATGCTCGAAAGGTACAAACAAAACGGCAGATACTCGGCAAATGTGTATACGAACAGTTTCTCGCAAGTTCTAGCTAGTGTGTGTGTTGTGTGTGTTTGAACAAAATAAAGAATGAAAAGATTTATCTTCAATATTTCGTCACTTTGGTGGTCCAACAAAATTTGCTCTTATAGATCGAATACACGTTCGATAGCGCACATTTCTTTGACTTTTTCTTATAAGAAATGGTTCAATCCCCAAACACTTTCAAGCGTAATACATTACTCAAACCAGCGCCCCCCCCCCCTCTTTTTTTGGCGCCAAAAGCAGAATAAAGACGCTAAGCAAGTAAACTTGCCGCGAACGTTTTATCCTTTAACGGGGAGACGATTGTGGCAATAGATTCACCGCCTCCGTACGCACGCTCGCTCGGCCAAAAGCAAAGCGTGATGTAGGCCTGAAAATATGTTTTAGGTAGCATTACATTGCCCCCTCTGAAAAGGCATCGCGCTAATGCTTCAAACAGAACAAGGGAAAAAATGCACAAACAATAAAAATAACTAAAGTAAAAAAATACAGTAATAAGTATAAGTGCAAGTAATAAAGCACCATAATAGAGGAAGAACAACAAACAATACACTCCTTAGGTTCGTTAACGAGCATGAAACGGCTTGTGGCGCACGGCATGAACGACTATGAACATACTGAAACTTTCAAGTGAGCTAGTATGATCGTCTGCGAAACATTAAATATTTGAATGACGGTGTTTCAAACTTGTGCACCTGAATGTACACAGCCGCACGAGCTTTTTGAAACGCCCATACTCTTCAGAAGGACCGTGCGCAATACGGTGTTCTTACTAGTCCGAAATTTTATTGTATTTAAAACATTCAATATCGGAAGTGACGGTAATTCTAATGTGTGCACCTGAATGGACATAGCCGCACAAGCTTTTGTAGCGCCTACAGTTGTTGGAAGGAGCGTGTGCAACACGTTTTTATATTGATGAGCCGACAGTTGCAGGTTAATTTCCGGGTGGACTTGCATGACGTTCTGATTACAACTTACTCATTCTGAGTGCCTCATTTGGACCCATGAGCTGAAATTCGGTACGTCGCGAATTTGTGACAATAGGCTAAAAAAGTTTATGAAATGTTCGACGAAACAATATTTTCAATAATGCATTTTGCTCTCACAAACTTATTGAAGCTATCAAGTAAACTCTTTCATAATTTTACTACTGTCTTCAAACATTCGGTACTTAGGAAATGTCTTCAATATGTGCGCCTGAATGGACATAGGGCATCTGCTTTTTGAAGTGCCTACACTCTTTGGAAGGATCCTGCGAGATACATTTTTTATAGGGCAGATATAGTGAAATGTTGATGGGCTGATTTCCAGATTGAATCAAATGACGTTATGATGAAGATTTATCCATCTTGATTTGCTATTTGCATCTATGTGTTCCGGAACGTTGCGAAATCACAATAGGCTGAAATAGTTTACAGAATGGCTGTTATTGCTTTCCTGCTCTCATAAAGTGATGTTTTAATCACCAGAGTTATCACTATTTGAATTACAACAATGACATTACTGTTAAATTATCGTCCCGTCGTGAATATTGCAGTGAAACAATTCAAACAATAAACTTCATTGAGATTACTGGTGACGTATTTGCTTTTGCCTCAAATGCAGCATCTTTTCGCTTCCCTCATTGCATAAAAGCTGGCCGTGAAAAAACACAGAAAAATTACGAAAACGATAAGGTAACATAAGTGTCAAACTGCTAGCGTTGGAAGTTGAATAAAGAGCTCTGTAATTTCGTTGTTAATGTGCGGTAAAATAAAGCATACATGACTTACTGCATGAATCAGAACTTCTGTGAAAT